TTACCTTGGGAGCCGGCGAACGGGACACAGCGGACTGGAGAAACCAGGGCGAGACACGTCAGAAAGAGGAGTAAGCCGAGCGGTATGATCCTTTCCTTGATTGTCATTGGTGCGGCGAGCTTCCAGGAAAAGGCTGGTAACTTTCACAAGCGGCGCTTGTGAAGCTGTGCGCAACTAGCAGTGTTTCTACTAAAGCTCAATAGAAGTGCGTGGACATCTGTAGAAGGTTGAACCAAAAGACAAATACTACTGGTGTGCAGACGACTCGGATGTCCAAGGAGGAGGAAAGCTATAAATTAGTAGTAGGAAATCTAGGGTTAGGGTTGGAGTTGAGGGAAACGGAGAGGCCCAGTTTCCCGCAACAAATTTGCTTTGCAAATTTCTTCGTGGCTGCGACAGGCCAACTTCGCTAACGGCGTCGAATTCGCAAATTCCAACCTCCCATTCACCCGTGGAGTTTGGATCTGCGATGGTATCGTCAAGTTACCCTGCTCTCGCGAACTCCAACGTGACATGAGTTTCGGTGGTGGCGTGGCGTGCCAGCAGGGCGTGTCGAACCCAAGAATCCCGCCTGGTCAGACGAACGAGGGCAGTGGCTGACCCTGTTTGACGAGCACAGACCTCTTCATTCACTCTCGCGATAATGGAACAAGCGAAACCCTAATGACCACTACCGCGAATGTTATGTACTGCGTCCAGCATACGAAGAGGTAGTATATGTGAACATGCGAATTATGGCACTAGCGACCAGTCAGTGCCCTATCGACCTGGCGACCCGATGACATAGTGATCTAGCCTCTCAGCCTTCGACGACCTGCCTTATCGCGATCGGAAAATGTCAAGTGGACTAGCGATAAGTTTCAGAGTTTAATCGTGCGAATTCTGAGTTGACTACTAGAAACAACGGCAGGATGCCACTAACATTTGATGCTCAAATAATTAATCCCTACTCGCTATGAGATGCCAGAATGTCGTCCGCTTTAGGAGACATCACTCTCGCACTTCCTCCCCCGCCCCATCCTTCTTCTCCTCCTCACCATCGCACAACTATGTGACCCGGAGCCACCGTCGCGAGAAGCATGAATGCGCAATTGACCTTAGAAGGCATCAGAGAGACGGCAAATCCGCTTTTCTCCCTCCTCCACCCGCAGCCTCCTCCTTTGCTCTCCCCAAGGAAACGCCTTGATTCTTTACTCAGCCCTTCTTTCTTAACTGCGCTGTGATGTAATCTCAAAGGATAGTCTCAGGAGGAACGTCTCTCTTGCTCAGTCGTTTGGATTCCGGATGAGCTGAGGGCCCAATACACCAATACTGCTGTTCGTCATCCCTAGTGCTTCCTATTGGCGACAGTGACTAAAGCCGAGAAAGTCGGCGCCGCGTGGATTGTCAGAGGCGAGAGGAGGCGACGCGAGCATCGCAGGCGTCGGAGCTGCACGAGCAGCGAATTGAATGGCGAACTGCACGAGGCAAATGGCAAGCGGCACCGTCATTTGACGGTGCTGGTGAGAGAATTGTCTTCTCCGTCTATGCTTGTTGTGGGGAATAAAAATATCCATTCACTGTATGCCCTTTCCGATACATTCAGAATTATAGAAAAAATACTACTCTCCTCCTCCCCTCCCCGTCTCCCCCTTTCCCCTTCCCTCCCCTCCCCCCTCCCCCTCCCCCTCCCCCCTCTTCCCCTCATCAATCCACCCCCCATCTCATTTCTCCCCACTCTCTCTCTCCCCACACTCATGCTACCTGTCATCCTCTCACAGGCCACAACGACACGCTGGAGGACTGGGCACTGCACGTGCATGCAGTGGGTCCCTTCCAACCAGACGGCCTTAGCCTTCGCGACCAGCAAGTAGCCGAGCAGGTGCGCCCTGCTGAGAGTGATGTATGTCTGGGTGCTGCATGGTTGGGTTGGGTGCTGCATGGTTGGGTTGGGTGCTGCATGGTTGGGTTGGGTGCTGCATGGTTGGGTTGGGTGCTGCATGGCTGGAAGAAGCTTCCTTTCTTTCTCACACCCCTTCCCGTTTTTCTGATTCGGGTCGTCATGCATACGAATCGTTTGCAATGCTCCTTGGTTGTACTATGCATTCATCTATGAAAGCCTTTTCTCCGATCTTTTTTCCCCCCCTCTTCCTCTCGCCTCCGCACACCCTCCTCTGTTTCACTCCATCTGTGTCTGATTCATCCCCTGTCTACCGCAGCACTCTTTCCCGTTTCCGCTGACCCTTTCAAGTTCCTCCTCTCCCTTCCGTGCACCTTCCTCACCACCCTTCCCTTATGAGGCGCCTCAAAAGTCACCTTCCTCACCACCTCCGCTCCATTCTGTGCCTCTCCTGCCAATCCTTGCTTGGTTGGTGCCTTTATTCCATCCCTTCAGGACCTTTCGTTTGGCGTGGTGAGGCAAGTGGCAATGGAGTGCTGAGGTATGCAGACGTGTGGAGTGTTGTGTTGTTTTCGTGAGAAGGGGGTGTCGAGCACGGGAGGATGTGGGAGAGCGGCGTGGGAGAGGGAGGTGAGGGGGAAAGGAGGGGAGAGAGGAGGAGGGGGGACGAGGAGGTGGCGAAAGGAGAGGGGGAGAGGAGTGGGTGAGAGGAGAGGCGGGGAAGGGGGGGTGGGGGTGGGGTGGGGGAGAGGACGAGAGGAGAGGGACGAGAGGGATTAGGGAGGTCGAGTTGGATATGAACGGAGGGGGACGAGGAGGGGGGGAGTGGGAAGTGGAGGAGAGGAGGGAGCTGGGAGAAGGCGGAAGGGTTCTGGTTTTCCGCTCGGTGGAAGTAGATGGTAAGTAGGAGGGTGTGGGGAGTTAGGTGGCAGAGGCAGATGCGCTGCTGCTGGCTTGCCGTTTCTGGCCGTTCACGAGGGTGCAGGTGAGCGATCCCGTGCTGCTGGATGGTGAATGCAGATGGGCGCAGGGCGGTTAGGGAGAGGCTGACCATGCTGCACCCAGCAGGACGTGCAGCTTCGCCTGCCTGGGGGGACTGGGGGGGGGTGGGGGGATCTGGGAGGGGGTGCGAGAGAGACGATAGGAACGCAAGAGAAAGAGGGAAGTCGGAGCTTCCCAGTAGCTTTCTGAAAAGGCAGACGAAGGAAGACGTGCTATCTAGGCTGATACATCTGATATCGCCCTTTAGTTGTTCGGCAACAACGAGGGTGAGTCTTGTTGAGCGAGTGTAATCGAATCGGAACGAGTCTCCTTGTCGGCCGATGTTGATGCGATCATTATCGGGTGTTTTGCACTGATTGACCATGTGACCGCTTGCACCCTGTGTGTGTGCAATTGAGTATGTGACGGCTTGCCTCTCCAACCTTTGTCCTGTTACACCTCCCCTCCATGCCGACGTGCAGGTGTTCGTCAATGTGCCCTGTTCTGCTGCGCCATGGCAGGTGTGTGGGGGGGAGGAACCACAAAGGATGAACGAGGGATGGGAGAGCTTGGAAGGGTTGCAAGGGCACCTCAAGGGAGCAGCATCAGCAGCAGCGACACCCGGTCCCCACAATCGCCCTCCCGACAATCACCACGCCCGTCCCATGGGTCCATAAGAATACCTCTCTGCAGCGGCTTCGGCTGGTTGCAGAGCTGGAGTGCAGCAGGGAGAGGTGCAATCGGTGCCCGACGAAGGTGCATGCTGCAGCAGGTGGGGCAGTAACGGGGGCAGGCAGGGCAGATGCGAATCAAGGAGGTGGGTGCTCCTAATCCTCCTGCTGCTGCTTCTGCAGAGGCTGCTGCATGACTTTCACCCACCTTCCCCACCTGACAACGTCACGGCTACTGTACTGCTCCTGCTGCAGCAGTGGTGGCACCGTGGCATGAGCGGCATGAGAAAACAAGTGACTGTAAGGATGGACATGGGGCTGGTAGGGAACAGAAGTAGCAAGCAACAGCAGTCATCACAAAAATCCTGCATCCGGAAAACCGATGAAAAAAGTTGCTTTGGAGTTTTGTCGAATGATTCTTGAACGACGTTTTTCGAACGCTTTTTTAAGAAAGTGTAGGCTGTTTTCCAAATGCTTTCTCGAACGCTTTTCAAATGCTTCTCCAATGCTTTTCTGTTCAAACCTGCTAGGTGAACACCTTCGGAAGAAGTTTGGTACAAGTTTCCGCAGAGCAATTTCGAAGATCGGATCTCATTGCAATGTACTCTTTATGGAATTTCGGGCTCATTAAAATAAGCTTATGTAGGAGACTTGCACGACCTTATATGTAATTTAAAACTATGTTAAGTTGCCTCAATCTTGCATTCAAAATGAACAGTACAGAAGCTTTGGTAAAAGCTGATAATTCCACCCTAAAAACGCACATAAAACAGCATCCTAAACCCTCTGTGCCTAGTCAGTTAGGTTGAGCTGCATCATCCTACGACCTGCTTAGCATGCTCCAGTACACTATGTCTTCCACCGAACCCCATCTCTGGTGCTCTAGGTCGAGCGTGCCCCTGCGTCCACTGCTTCATTGCATGCTCTGCCCTCTCATGCGTCTGCTGCTCCGCCCCTGGCGCTCCCCAGTCATGCCTTTACTGCTGCTTGCTCCAGTCATGCCTAACCTGCTGCCCCCCTTGTGCACTCCCCTCTATCTGCTCGTGCCTTTTCTGCTGCCCCCCCAACTCTCTCAACTCATGCCTTTTCTGCTGCACCCTCTTGCACTATCTGGTTGCCTTGCTGGTTGCCCACCCTTGGACACTCCTCACATTGTCTCTACTGCTGCCCCCCTTGCTGACTCCACGCTTTTGCCGCCCGTGCTACCCCCCATGCTGACTCTACTTTCTTGCCTGGCGTGCTGCCCCCCTTGCTGTCTCCACCAATGCCTCTACCTCCGTTTTGATGTCTCCTCGCAAGTGTGTGATGCCTATCCTGCTGCCCCCCCTTGTAAACTCCACTCATGCCTCATCTGCTGCCCCCCTTGTTTAGTCACCCCATCGCTTGACCCTCTTGCCTCCCCGGCGTTTGCCACTCTTGTGTCTTTTGCCCCTCCTTCGCTCCTGGCCCCCCCCCTTCTCATCCTCATCCTAATCCTCTTCCTCCTCTTCCACTTCTTCCTCCTCTTCCTCTTCCCTCCTGCTTCCCTTGCCTCTGCCCCTTTTGTGCTTTCTGCCCTTCCTCCTCTCCTGCCCCCTATGATTTTCATCCTCCTGCTTCCCCTCCTCCTCCTCCTCATCCTCTTCCTCTTCCCCCCTGCTTCCTCTGATTTTCCCTCTCTTCTGCCTTCTGCCCTTCCTAAGCTCCCGCCCCCCCCGTTCCACATCCTCCTCCTCTTCCTCATCCTCATCCTCTTCCTCCTCTTCCACTTCTTCCTCCTCTTCCTCTTCCCTCCTGCTTCCCTTGCCTCTGCCTCTTTTGTGCTTTCTGCCCTTCCTCCTCTCCTGCCCCCTATGATTTTCATCCTCCTGCTCCCCCTCCTCCTCCTCCTCATCCTCTTCCTCTTCCCCCCTGCTTCCTCTGATTTTCCCTCTCTTCTGCCTTCTGCCCTTCCTAAGCTCCCGCCCCCCCCGTTCCACATCCTCCTCCTCTTCCTCATCCTCATCCTCTTCCTCCTCTTCCACTTCTTCCTCCTCTTCCTCTTCCCTCCTGCTTCCCTTGCCTCTGCCTCTTTTGTGCTTTCTGCCCTTCCTCCTCTCCTGCCCCCTATGATTTTCATCCTCCTGCTCCCCCTCCTCCTCCTCCCCACCCTCTTCCTCTTCCCCCCTGCCTCCCCTGAGTTTCCCTCTCTTCTGCCTTCTGCCCTTCCTAATCTCCCGCCCCCCCCGTTTCACATCCTCTTCCTCTTCCTCCTCCTCATCCTCTTGCTCATCCCTCTTGCCTCCCCTGCTTTTGCATCTCTTGTGCCTTTTGCTCTTCCTCCGCTCCTGCCCCCACTGTTCCTCCTCCTCCTCATCCTCCTCCTCCTCCTCCTCCTCCTCCTCCTCCTCCTCCTCCTCCTCCTCCTCCTCCTCCTCCTCCTCGTCCTCGTCCTCCTCCTGATCCTCGTCATCCTCCTCGTCATCCGTCTTCAAGTCCTCCGCGTCGTACACCTCCTGCTCTTCCTCCTTCAAGTCCTTCTCCTCGTCAGGCGCGGCCGTCCCCTTGAACGCCTCAAATCCTGACTCGTGAACATACAGGCCACGGTTGCCCCACTTGAAGCCCTGCACGACTGTGTTGTACACGGGGGTGTGGCGTCTGAAGTGGTCCTTGATAATCCACCGCACATTTCGGTGCAAACCCGTCATCCACTCGGTGTTCTTCCGGTGGGAGTTCGAGACGTTCCAGTCGGTCTTCTTAACCTTTGCCAAGCCCTGGTCAATCTGAAAAAGCGTAGCACAGTATGGGAAAGAGGGGAAATAGAGACATATGTGGACACTCGCGTGTAGAGTTCACGGGCTGCGCAAATAGCCCCACATTCCAGTCTGGCGGGCAAGAATTGCAAGCAAAGCTAGAGCGAACTGACGGGAGAGCAATAATGCCTTACCACCATGATTGACCAGGCAATGTGGTAGGCTTTGACGCACACCCGGCGCCCGACACAGAGATTCCGAAATGCTTCCCGGACCGCATCTACAAACCGGCCGTTGGCAAACGGGAGCCCGTTTCTGCTGTTTCCCCACGAGCTGACCCGCTGATTCCCTCCTGCGCGCACGCAGGACAAGGCGGGGACGAAGATCATGCACGACATGGTTAGGGGTTGTCCAAAGGGTATGGACGAAGTGGAGGGCGGTATAGAATGAATGGAGGGTTGGCTGGAGGGCAGTAGAGCAGGGAAGGGCGGGAGAGAAGGGGAGGGCAGGGGAGAGGGGGAGGGCAGGAGAGACATGGAGGGCGGGAGAGAAGGGGAGGGCTGAAGAGAAATGGAGGGAGGGAGAGAACGGGATGGCGGGAGGGAAGGGGAGAGCTGTAGATTAAAGGGGGGGCGGGAGAAGGGGAGAGTGGGAGAAGAACCAACGTTAAGCTGTCATGCGGATGTGACTGCACATGCGCTACAAGCCTGGGCAAGGAGAGCAGGTATGTAGTTGCGTGCCACAGTGGGGATGCATTAGGGTAAGTTGTTCATCATCGTCATGAGGGGTGCACGAGCAGATGAAATGAATGGTGAAGTAAAACAGAAACGCGCGTACTCACTTGGTTGGTATTTTCTCCACATCTTCTTCTTCTTCTTGGTGCCCATCCAGAGATCGGCTGCACGCAGGCCTTGCACCTTCTTGCCGAAAGTTACAAGCACTCTGCGCTTGAGGTGGAAGCCACGATCGTTCTTCCATGACGTCCAAGCGCGTTTGAAGCCGTCGACAATGTTTTTGTCTTCCATAGCCTCTCGCAGCTGCATCAGCTTAATTATGTGCGTCTCGCTGATAACCTGATACAAAACCTGAAGGCGCTGTTCGAGCGTTGGGTAGAAGTCTATGGCATCGTCTGGCCATTCTAGGCACATCCGGTCCCGCCCCACGGCGAAATGAACCTATGACGGACGGGTGGATTGGAAACGTAAAATTGAGTGATGCCTCCGAATGAAGGGCGGAATTCAGAGGTTGAGAGAGAGGGCTGTTGCCATCACTGCGCCGCATGGCTCCCATACCAACAACAGCACCATGAACATGGGCTCTGGAAGAGGTGGGGGAGGGATGGGAGAGAGGGTGCAGGGAGAGGAAGGATAGCTGCTATGGTGAGCTATCACTCCGACGCATGACACCCACCCCACCACCAGCACCATGAACAGGAGCTCTGGTTGAGGTAGGGGAGCGATGGTAGAGTGAGAGGGGAGAGAGAGGGGATAAAATAGTCAGAGCGAAAGACGGGAGAGTAGGCAGAGTGAGAGGGCACCGTACGCCCAGCGCGAGGGTTCATGTTCTCCTCGTACGAGGAGTCTCAACTTCCTCTGCAGCCACCCCCCTGCACGCTATGCCGCATGCCACACGCGTGACCAGCAGCACCTTTTACAGTGGCTCTGGACGAGGAGGGAGAGGGACGGGATAGAGAGGGGAGGGAGGAGCGGCAGACAGAAAGGGGGCCGCATGGGGTTGACGGATACGACTTCCTCTATTCCTTGCGCCGCATGACACCCACACCACCACCAGCACTCACATGCGCTGGAGCAGCACTCACATGCGCTGGAGCAGCACTCACATGCGCTGGAGCAGCACTCACATGCGCTGGAGTAGCACTCACATGCGCTGGAGCAGCACTCACATGCGCTGGAGCAGCATTCACATGCGCTGGAGTAGCACTCACATGTGCTGGAGCAGCACTCACATGCGCTGGAGCAGCACTCACATGCGCTGGAGCAGCACTCACATGCACTGGAGCAGCACTCACATGCGCTGGAGCAGCACTCACATGCGCTGGAGCAGCACTCACATGCGCTGAAGCAGCATTCACATGCGCTGGAGTAGCACTCACATGCGCTGGTTCCGCACTCACATGCGCTGGAGCAGCACTCACATGTGCTGGAGCAGCACTCACATGCGCTGGAGCAGCACTCACATGCGCTGGAGCAGCACTCACATGCGCTGGAGCAGCACTCACATGCGCTGGAGCAGCACTCACATGCGCTGGAGCAGCATTCACATGCGCTGAGTAGCACTCACATGCGCTGGAGCAGCACTCACATGTGCTGGAGCAGCACTCACATGCGCTGGAGCAGCACTCACATGCGCTGGAGCAGCACTCACATGCGCTGGAGCAGCACTCACATGCGCTGGAGCAGCACTCACATGCGCTGGAGCAGCACTCACATGCGCTGGAGCAGCACTCACATGCCTCACGTACCAGGGAGACAACGTTGCCTTGCCATGAGCGTTGCATGTGACGCCCTGCACGGTTGAGCAGTCACTGCTGCCCGACCACGCCTGCCAGCCGCCCCCAAGCTGCCCCCATGCCGCCAGCGCCTGCGGAACAGCTTGACTGCCAGCGAAGGCCGGAGAGGGTTGGACGCAGGGGGTGCAGCCGCGGGCTCACGGAGGTCAGCGGGCACGGTGGAGTGTGGGGGGAGGGAATCCACATGGGGAGGGGCATGGGGGCACGCAGGGACCGGAAGAGGCCCTCTTAAAAATATTAATAACGTTTGTGGAATGTCCAATAATCAGCAGTATGAAGTCAACATCAAACTCACTGAAGAGTACAATGCAATCAGATCTAGTCTCCAAAATCACTTCGCAAAAACTCATACCAAACGTCAGTCGAAGGTATTCAAGATGCAGTTTTGAACAAAGAAGCATTCGAGTACCATTTGAAAAGCATTCGACAAAGCATTTGGAAAACGACCTATACTTTCTCAAAAAAGCGTTTGAAACCCTACGTTTATAAATCATTTGAAAAGGCTCCAACGAGCCTCTTTTCATCGGCTTTCTGGACGCTGGATTTTTGTGATGGGGTTGTGTGACAGATGAGTGAGGGTTGTTGGGAGAGGGGATGAGAAGAGGGAGTGGAGGGAGGAAAGGGAGGGAAAGGAGGGAAGGAGGGGTGATAACAGGGTAGTAGCATAGGAAAGGGGGGCATGGAGAGGCAAAGAGGGGGCAGGGAGAGGCGGAACAAGGATGTTAAGGGTGAGTTGTGCGTTCAGGAGAGCGATTGACCGTTGCAGGACATGCGCAACGGCTAGAGCGCTTCTGAGGAACGCGGTGAAAGAGAGTCACAGTGGCATTGGCGAATCTTGGCATGGAAAATCTCACACCACCCCTGCATGCCGCCGCCCCACCGCCCCATACCTTCCCATTCCGTTGCATCACCCCATACCACCCCATTCCCATACCACTCCATGCTGCCTCACCACCCGCTAGGGCGCACTCACAGCCTGCCGCCTGTATTTGCCACCCCGCCGCCAGCGTGCAGCGCGAGCAGAAGCAGGTGAGCAGCAGCAGTGGGAGCATGGCGGGGCAGGAGATGGGTCTGCGCTTGGTAAGAGCGGCAGGGGGGAACGATAGGGAAGGGGGAGGGGAGTTAATGAAACCGGGAGAGGGGAGGGGAAGGCAGAAGCGAGGCAGAGGGAGAGCGCTAGGATGCAGGAGAGAGCGAGCACCCCCACTCCCCATGACACCACCCCCATTCCCCCCCACCTCTTTTTCGTTTCCTTCCCCCCTCGTAGCACATACCTTTCAAGGCTTTATTCTTTGATTAGGTTGGCTTATGCGTTCTTACCTTGGTTCTTTACCATTGACTTTGCTGTACCACTTGTATTCAATGACAAGGACAGTTCAACAGTTGGGGGGGTGTCCATAGGGGGGTGACTCAGTCGCACTGAGCGACGATACACTGCACAACGATATACTGCGCAACGATACACTGCGCAACGATACACTGCGCAAGGATACACTGCGCAAGGATACACTGCACAACTACACATCGCAACGATACACAGCGCAACGATACACAGCGCAACGATACACTGCGCAACGATACACAGCGCAACGATCCACAGCGCAACGATACACAGCGCAACGATACACTACGCGAAGATGCACAAAGCAACAATGCGCTCCCCAAGCGACAAGGTACAAGCACATACGCGGCATGTCCGTAAAGGTAGCCTCACGGCTCTTAGCTCTCCCACCGACGCAGCCCCCCTAGGCATCGCGTGCTGTCAGGTCCTCGGTGCGCCCTGCGTGGGGGAATGAGCTCTCTCGCGCTCGCTGTCATGCCACTGGAAACGCCCACCTGCCGCGATCGGAACCTATACCTGGGTGTCAAACAGCATACCATCCAGTGGCTTGATGTTTGATAGGCATCGCTGGGAGTTTTTTCGCGATGCCTGGGATTGGCGTGTTGCAATACACACTTACAGCATGTCACCTGCAGGTTGATTTCGACATTCCACGCGGCATCATTCCGAACCCAAGGTTTCACTCCACAATCGAACTCGCCATTTCCCAAAGCGCGCAGCTACTGTACATAGCCGATTGCGTGATAAGGGTTCGGTACGTTTTTTTGTTGTTCCAGGTCGAGATTTTCGGGTTGTTCTAAAACAATTGTGAATAAATCGAGGTGTGACTATTCTTCATAGAGGGACTCGTCATTGTAGCATAGCACCTCACTTAACAGATTAAGAATTAACATCGCTAAAACATTGTGCTCTTACGCAAACCGAAGTTTGTTCACAACGGATCACTTCGCGATCGAAGCGGCGATACTGTAGCTCAGGGGTTACTCATTTCTTGTTACTGTTACATCCGTAACCCGTGTTACCAAGGTACAGTTCAATGTATGTTACAAAATCAAAGTTACCTTCAACTGGTAACCAGGGCTCTCATTATCAGACTAATTTGGTCTGATGGTCTGATTTTCAGACTTACTTTTTTGGATTCATCTGATTTGGCAAACAGGATCAGACAAAACCTTGTCTAATGCCCGGGGGACTCGTCTGATAAATCAGACGTCCTCAGATCCTAGCAAGAGCCCTGCTGGTAACCCTAGTTACTAGAGTACACTCAAAACCAGTAACATGTAGAATTATAAATTTTAGCACATACAATTTTAAATGCGTTCTGGGGACCTAAATAGCGGAACATGGGCATTTTCGTAATAAAACCAGCAATTATAAAGACACGCAGAAATAAAAATACAATGCATACAAAATCCATTCAGGAGTCATCTTCAGAATCCTCGTCTACCACCTCATCTTCATCTAACTCATCCTCTGCATCCTCATCCCCCAGGACATCAGCATCCAGAGCCTCCTGGGGGATGGTCACCCACTGCGCCAAACAGATGCGCCCTATGCCTATGAAGTCACCCTCAGTCCGGCCCATGCTGTTGATATAGCGCTGCACAATGCGCGCTTGCCTGGAGATGGCGAGAGTGTCACCAGAGCGACCAAGCTGAAGCTTGTTGCAAGTGGGGTGATGTAGCTTATAACGGACCTGCACACATTCAACAACACAACACGAGCCTGTAAGACAGAACATACAGTAGAAAAGTTTGCATTACAGATGCGATTAGACTCACGATTGCCAGAATCAATAGGAGCTGTGCCGCATAGATCCCAAGTGGGCGGTCTGGATCTTCCTCTGTCACAAACAGGCGCGCACACGCCATGAACGCTGGGCTGGAAAAAGGGTGGCCATTAAGCAGGTGCCACTCTATGCCCTTCAGCCCTGTGACAAGCCACAAAGCAAAGAACGGGCAATAATGACAGAGTAAGTACAGACTGCTTTATTATGTCACTATTTAAAAAACTCAACATTTATGTTGAGTTGCTGAAAACAAGACTAAAGAGAGTTTACAAAGGTAAACACGGGTAAAGACTTACTGCTGCCATACACAGCCACGTAAGCATGGCATCAGGCAGCAAAATCGTCTGGCTCCACAGCTCGGATGGTTCCATTCGGAGCACCCTTAATCACGAACAGTCGCGCGCCCCGTACCAACCGCAAGCTCCTCCTGCAACCTCCGTAGATCTTGCCAATGCGGTTGTTGAACCGCTTCTCTGTCTTTTTAACGATGTCATTGTCTTTCATGTGCGCCACCAGCCTCGAAGCCTCATCGCTGCCCCATGTGAAACCTGCATGTGCTGTGCGAAGTAAAAGAACGGGCGGCAGTCAGAAACATAGATCGGAGCAATAGCAGAAGAAACACGACTCGTCTGCTTACCGACTAAACGTTCAACAACATCACTCCTCTTCGGCGCCAAGTTCATGTGGTCGCCGTCGAAGAGGAAATCGTTGACGGTTTCCGACATCATTCTCTGCAATAGCAACAGAAAACACCCGTCAGGGTATAAACCGGAGTGAACAGAAGACACCCATCAGTTTAAACGAAAGCGTATGAAAGAAACTCACCTCGAAATCTAGGCAGACAATCTTCTGCAGGAGCACAGCATCAGCGAGAGATCCGGCGATGCCAAGAGCCTTCAGGATCTGCACGTCCTTGGTCTTGCAGTCGGTCTGCAGCAACTCAACATGCTCGCGAGCAATGGCGGCCTGGCAGCCACTTTTCTGCAGGCGGCTCTACTGTTACTCTGTCTGCTCTTGGCAACTTGGCAACATCAGCTCCCATTTCCGCTGCTCCTTCTCTGGCCTTTCTACATTAGCACATGGCGCGGTGTGCCACCCACTCAGGCATCTGCCACGCCAAGGAACTGCTGTTGATTATTCTCCTGCTGTCTGCCCTTAAGTTCTTGCTGTCCCTGCATCAGCAACAGCAACAAGCCTCTCCTCTCCATGCCTCCAACCCACGTATCTGCCCCTGCACTGAGCTCGTGCCTCATCTCCGTCCCTGGTATAGCGTTTGATCCCACTCAGCATTCACACCTCTGCCATGCCTTGCCATGTTAGGCACCTTTCATTCCTTCAGTCTCGCCTTTCAGTTGTTCAGCTCCTGCTTTCGGTCGTTCTGCTCCTGATTTTGGTTGTTTTTCTCCTGCTTTCTACCCCATACCTGGTGCCCCTGCATTTTCCGCCTCAGCAGCCGCCGCTAGCTTCTGCTTATTCCCAGGGCTTTTGCACCTTCACCCCCTGAAGACGGCTTTGCTTCCGTTCGGACCTCTGCCATGCATTGGCCAAATTAGTATGTTCTGCTCTTTCTGGTCTTGGCTCAGGGAGAGTATTGTATTGTGGCTGCAAATACTGTATGCCTGTACTGTATGATGCTTGTACTGTATGCTCGCAAGATATTTGAGATTGTTGTATAGGTCATTGTCAAGTGAGTCCGTTGTTGCGGAAGGCTAGAAAATTTCGTGCCAACGAATAATTGTGTGATGCGTGATGGACATGATGTACACTCCGAAACCTGACACAAAGAACCAGCAGACTGCTGTTAAGCAGTGGAATGATGTATGACACCCGGAAATCAGTGTGGGTGAACATGCTGTCACTCTTGGGGAGCAGAAGCAGCAGACTTCCATTCTACAGCATCGGGGCAATCACAAATCCCCATCGTCGCTTGAAGGTAGCTCCTCGTTATTGCGGAGGGCGAGGATGATGAAGGCTCATGGAGGCGGAGCACACTGCCTGCCAGAGAAAATGCCAAGTGCCCAGAGGGAGACGTGATAATAGTGGTCATCTTGGCCTTGCGCCTGCTGAATAGGCCCTGCAAAGAGGGAGAGCAGGCAAGGCGGGGAAGGTAGGGAACGCAGGGAAGGGAAGGAGGGAGGGGAAGGTAGGGAAGGCCAGGGAGGGAAGAGAAAGCAGGGAAAGGAAGATAGGGAAGGGAAAGTAGGAAAGGGAAGGAAAAGAAAGGGAGGGAAGGCGACGAAGATGCAGGCTGATAACTGGCAGAGCGCACTGCCTGGAAATTCGTCCAGTCCAGCAGAGCCAATCCATTGTTTTTAGACCACAGTTATCTGTTACAAGGGTGGCCATCTTAGTCTTTTGCCCACCCCAACAGGACCAGTTTGAGTTTAACAACCCACTCGGGGCAATGCTGTTAACAGCCCACCATCCACCTCCCACAATCCACCACGCACCATCCACCATCCACCACGCACAATCCACCATCCACCATCCAGCGTCCACCATCCACCCCCTTACTCACCTCACCACCATGGCAGCCTAGAGGGCGGGAAAGGAAGTAGGGCAGATGGACAGCTACACACAGTAATTACCCCCCCCATCTCCCGCCCCCCTTTCCTCCCACCATTTTCCTATTCCCCACCACACACACTCCCTTATCCGCCATCTCACCGGCACTGCCTTGTCTTCACCCCACTCTCCCCCTCTTCTTACAACGCACCCACAAGAGGGCATGAAAGACAGGAAACGAGTGGCAGGGCCGTGGAAGAGGTGCAGGTGGGGAATGTGCAGGTGGGGTGAGGCTTCGAGGGGATGGGGTGGGGGTGGGTGCGATGGGGGAGGAGGAAGGGAGAAGGAAAGAGCATGGGGAAAGCAAAAAGTGTAGGGCGGACCATCATGCATCGTTGCTTGAGTGTTGTCCTAGTCGTTATCTCGACCAATCCCACGACGATGGGGTCACTGCTGGAGAGCAGTCGGGCGACACCAAGGTCCATCGCAGGCCAGTTGTGTTCCGCTACGAGGGCCTCACTGCCAGGGAACAGCACGCAAAGTACGCGCACACCTAGGGCGCGTGATGTGCTCTGCTCTGCTGCGGTCTCGTCAGCAAGCTCTTGCTGGGTGGGTGGTATAGTCCAGCCCTGTTGACCTGTGGCCCATGGCCCTATGCCCGTGATCTGCGCGTACATTGACTTGCGCTAGCCACTGGATCCCACTGCCTCCTCGCCAGCTGACTCCTCCCGGCAGGATCAGGGCATGGGGGAGGAAGACGGTGGGGGAGAGGCGTGTGGCCAAGGCGTGAGAGGGGGAGGTGTTGGAAGGAGGCGTGGAGGGGAGGCACAGGCGGGAGGCGTGGGGGAAAAGGGGTTGGGGAGCGGGTTGGGCGAGAGGTTTGGGGGAGAGGCTTGGGAAAGAGGTTTAGGGAAGTGTTGGGAGAGAGGCGTGGCAGAGAGGGGTAAGGGTGGGGCGTGCGGAGAGTGGGGGAGAGGTGCGGGAAAGCAGGGAGGGGAGACGGGTGGGTAGAGGCCGTTGGGGCAAGCGGGTGGGGGAGAGAGATGGGGGAGAGGTGTGGGGGAGAGGGTTGGGGGAGAGGGGTGAGGGAGAGGGGTGGGGGAGAGGGTTGGGGAAGAGGGGTGAGGGAGGGTGGTGGGGAGATGGGTGCAGAGAAAAAATGGGCATTGTGGCTTGAAAAAATAACCAATCTTTGCGTCACATACCTCACCCTTTTTGTCCGAGCCTTCACCTACCCTCATCTCCCTTCAACCCCCCTATCTCCTCTTAAGCCTCCCACATCCCCCTTATCCCATCGCCCCCCTCACCCATGGGCGCAGCCACTCGTGCATGCCCTGCGCCATCACCCCTCACCGCTCATCCCCAAATCCCCTCCTCTCCTCTTCCCCCCCTCTCTTCTCCTCACTCACCAGCAGGCGCGACCACTCACACATGTCCTGGGCCAGCTTGCGCAGCACCACGCGGTCTGCTACTGCTGGCATGCGGCTCTCACACACCTGGCGGGGGGAAAAACGGGGAGAAGGGGGAGGGGGGACAAGTATGGATCAAGCACACTCATGCATTTGGCATGAAGCCAGACCGCATTGGAACAAGAGAAAGCCCTGGAGGAGCAAGGAGATTAGAAGAGGAGTAAGGAGAGTAGAAGAGGAGCAATGAGAGTAGAAGAGGAGCAATGAGAGTAGAAGAGGAGCAATGAGAGTAGAAGAGGAGCAATGAGAGTAGAAGAGGAGCAAGGAGAGTAGAAGTGGAGCAATGAGAGTAGAAGAGGAGCAATGAGAGTAGAAGAGGAGCAAGGAGAGTAGAAGAGGAGAAACGACAGTAGAATAGGAGCAAGGAGAGTAGAAGAGGAGCAAGGAGAGTAGAAGAGGAGCAAGGAGAGTAGAAGAGGAGCAAGGAGAGTAGAAGAGGAGCAAGGAGAGTAGAAGAGGAGCAAGGAGAGTAGAAGAGGAGCAAGGAGAGTAGAAGAGGAGCAAGGAGAGTAGAAGAGGAGCAAGGAGAGTAGAAGAGGAGCAAGGAGAGTAGAAGAGGAGCAAGGAGAGTAGAAGAGGAGGAAGGAGAGTAGAACTTGTATTAAAAAAAAAGAAGTATCAGGTGGCATCAGAGTGGCGCAGTGGAAGCGTGGTGGGCCCATAACCCACAGGTCCGAGGATCGAAACCTCGCTCTGATAAGACTGTCACCCTAACGGAGCCGATACCGTTTATGCTAAACTGTATTTGTTCTTCAGTTCCTAGAACAGAATCTTGGTGCGAGGATGGCTGTAAGGTTGTGATGCACACCACGCATGTACAACCACCATGGATCTCCCACCCACGCACTCTATCCTTGAGTTCTGATATTGGGAACCCTCCTAAACTTCTGCCCATTCATTCCTTCAAAAGCATTATATATCCTACTACACTGCATATCTTCTTTTTTTTCCCTACATACCCATCCGTTACAGGTGAAGGAGGTGTTTTCTCTCCCATGTATTCCTGTAGGCGCCAGTAGAAGGTAGCCAGAAAGGCCGAGGCCGCATGGGTGAGTTTTTATATTGTAGAACATTCATACACACACGCATGCAGAAATGAATACGAAGAGTGAAGGCGACCCATGAGGAGGAAAGGACTGCATAGGGTAGTAGTGTGATGTCACACACGAGTCGGAATGAACCCTATGCTCCTTCATGGTTCATTCCGACTCACGAGCCGTGAAGGACACAAACAAGGGGATGGGAAAGTTGCTGACAGAGTGAAAAGGAACCTCAAGAACAGCGAGCGAATCAGAGAGAGGAACCAGAGGAGTCAGGCAAGGGAGGAGATGATCAGGTTGGAGAGGTACACAGAGGGGCTGGTACAAAGGTGATGTTGTACATCAGCCACATGAAGCGAGCTGAACGAGCAGAGCAGCCAGAAGGTCCCAGGAACAGCGATGGTATCAGAAAATGGTTTCTGAGAAGGGAATCGTCGTGCAAGAGAAAGGAGGTGAGAGAAAAATAAAAGTAGCAAGCAAAGACAAAGGGGTCTTATCTGTTGAAGTTTCTCCAAACAAAAAAAACCTTCATTGTATAAGCAGAATTTGACGCTCCCATCACACCTTTACATCAATGCAAGTAGGTAGGTGAGGGTTGCAAAACGCGGCAGTGAGGGATAGGCCAGAAGGGATCCCAAGAGTAGGAAGGGAGCAAGATACAAGGCTGCACGAGGATGCGGACCAGGAATGACGACGAGTCAAAGATCTCAGCTCAGCGTGGCATGAAATATGCAACCTCACCCACCGGATACACATCCTCACACTGGATAGAACCGAATCCATGATTGGTTGCTTCCGTGGCTTGTTTCTCCTTACCACAGCCAGGCGGGGTGAGGGGAGACGGAGTGAGCCCACCACGCGGGATCTGAAATCATAGTGCAAGGGAGAAGACAAATGGTGGTGAGTCCTATACTATGAGTGAACAAAGGGGCTCGTGGCCTGGCCGTTTGAGGTGCACTTTGAGTAGGAAGATTCCTGAAGTAGACTCGCACGCAACTCGGGTCAGCTTGAGACCATGGGGCTGATAGAAAACCAGAGCATCTCGGGCTGTGCTGGTTTTCTATTACACACTTTCCAAGCCAAATCGCATGCATTCAAGACCTCAGTTTCAAAGATTTTCCGTTGGTTGAGGTTGGCGAGGAGCGTAAGACATGCTAAATCCATCCCCTGACCTGGAGGACTACCCCCGGGGGGGGTTTAGAACGAGGTGGCTCATGAGTCGCAAGGCTGGGGCGAGCCTGGCAGCTTGGTGAGAGCCTCCTCGGCCCGGGCATTAGATTCTTACTAGTTTAAACCACAAGCAAATGCACTCCTCAAATGTGAGTGGAACGCATTTGCAGGTCGAGTCAATGTTGATTTGCGAGTTGATTCGAGCCGGATAGCCGAGTTCGGTAGAATCGAAATTTGACTCGAATCGGGTCAAGGTTGGTTGACTCGTTTTGGCACATTGGCCCGATATGACAAAAAGTACGAGCAAAACGATTTGTAGGCTGCGAGCCAGGCTTGCAAGGCTTGCAATGCGGAAGGCCAACTGGGACAGCTATAGGATGGCTTACCTCTTCTCGATGTGCCCCCATGCCGCCCTGCCCCATGCCGCCTTGCCCCATGCCCCCCTGCCCCATGCCGCCCTGCCCCATGCCGCCCTGCCCCATGCCGCCGTGCCACATGCTACCTTGTCGATTGAGTGCCACGCTGCCCTGTCTCTGCAGCACACGCTGCTGCTGCTGCTGTCAAGGCTGCGCCGCCCGATCGCCACACTACACTGATGCTGTGACTGCAATCCACGCTGCTGCCCACCATGCCACCACCACCGCCATTATGGGCAGTCGCGGTGCTGCCATGCTGCGCGCACTGGGGGAAGCCCAGGGAAGAGGAGGTGGGTGGGTGTGGGCATGATCACACCCGTGAGAATGGCATCCGTGAGTGCTGCATCAGCTGCCAGCAGCCGTGCTCGCCCCTCCTCCATGCTCGCGCTCCTCCCAATCATGCTGCCTCTGCTTCCCGTGCTTCCCGTGCTGCCTATGCTGCCTGTTCTTGTTGCTGGCCGCCACAATTCCTCCATGCCTGGGTGCCCCTGTCCCCTTCTCCCCCCCCCCCCCCCCCCTCCTTCGGCCTTGTGCCAGCGCGCATGTCTGTATTGATCAAACTGCCGCTCATGCTCCCTCCCGCCCCTTCTCCCCCACCTTCTCCCTCCCCTCTTCCCTCTCCCCCCCCTCTTCCCTCTCCCCTCCCTCCCATTCTCCTGCCCATGCTGCCCCCGAGTCGTCTCCCAGGGGCAGTAGTGTAGGGGAGGCGCGCAAAAGAGGAGCTAATGCTGCTAGTGCGAGGCGTGCGGAGGAGAGGCTGAGGCAACGGGCCTGACACAGGCAGTGGGGGGAGAAAGAGGGGAGCCAAGGCGCTGGTGGGACGAATGTGAGAAGCAGAGAAGAAAGTGGTGCTGCGGATACTGCAGACACGTGGTGTCATATGGCATTGCGTGGGGGACAGCCACAGCAGTCGCACATGCGCGAAACACACCTAAGGAGCAGGGGAAGAGCGACTTCTAAAGCAACGTGCTGGACACTCCCCCCCCCCCCCCTCCCCCAACCATCTGCACCACCACGGCAGCCAGTATCCGTGTCCCCTCTGCTGCTCTTGACTCCTCATTCCTCCTCCCTTTCCTCGCCCGCTCCCTCTGCTGCCCCCCTCCCATGCTCGCTGCCTCTCACTCCTCCATCTGCCTGCCCCCACTTCACCCTGCTGCTCCACTGCACCCGCCGCCAGTCTACCCGCGCTGCCCGCGGCGCTTGCGTCGCCCAGGCGCGGCCCCAAGAAGGAGTAGAAGGCGGGCACGGGTGCAGGGCTCACTTGGGCGGGCGGCGGCACGGAGTGGTGCGACAGGGAGAGCAAGGGGTAGGAGGGGGGATATGGGGAAACAAGGAGGGAGGGGAAGCGGGAAGGAAGGGCAAGAAAAGGGGGATTTGGGGGGGAAGAGAAGGAAGGTGAGATTAGGGCATTGGGGGCGGAGAGAGGGGTTGGGAGGTGCAGACACGAGTGTGGCTGCCCCTCTCCCTTGCGCTCTTTTCTTCCCCCTCCCCCTCATCCTTCCCCATCCCCCTCATCTTACCCCTTCCCCTCCCCTCCCTCTCCCTCCCCTCCCCACTGTCCACGCCCAGTGATGCCAGCCACCGTAGTGCCGCCGCCGCCGCCACCTCCCGTGCCCACTCGCCCTCCCCCTTGCTCGAACAAGTTGCCAAGGGACGAGGAGCGGATGGGGGAGTTACCCACTGGTTATACTTGAGGTGCAGGGAAGCACTCAACCTTAACAAATAAGCCCCACAGGCGTTGCACGAATAGAGCAGGATGGGGAGCGAAGTGGGTGCCGTGGGGCACGCGACGGGGACTGATGCTGCAAGCAACGCGGACGAGAATAGAGCAGGATGGGAAGCAGCGTGAGTAAAGTGGTTGGTGAGACGGAATGGTTTAAGAGCAACGGAGAGCACGGATCTAGGGTAACGTCTTTATGCACAGCGATTGGAATGGGGAGCAGAATGCGGGACGCGGGGAGGCAAGGGGCTTTCGAGGCGCCAAAAGAAGTGCGAAGAGAGCGGGATGGGGAACGGAGTGAGTGGTGCGGGGAGGAATCTTTTCGAATCGACCTACGTGCACACTGAATCCCCCTCGTTCCCTCCTCTCCCCTTCGGAAATGGCAATTTCCCATCCTACATGCAGCAAGGTTTTCGTCGGACCAATCCACTCGCACATCGATTGTCGTCCCCTCTTTCCCCCTCGCGTGCAAGTCTGCGCCTCAACGGATCAACCCACGGGCAGTTATCTCCTAATGCGAGCAATAGAGCGACCCCATTTCGAGTGAGTGAACTCAGCGCGACAAACCCTGGTACGACAGACCCCACTGCGACAGACCCCACTGCGACAGACCCCAGTGCGTCAGACCTGTGGGGTCTGACGCACAGGGGTCTGTTGCTGAGGCATGTGGGGTCTGTCGCTGAGGCAATGCGTCTTCAAGACGGAAAGGGTGATCACTAGGCAATTGATACGTCATCACCTGGCAATCGGAATACTCGCTGTGCTTAAAAGCGACGTCGCAGTTTGACATGTAAAACAATGGAGCACAGATGTTAATACAGTTTCATCAGCAAGCGTCAACACAAGCTGACCCGTGCTCAGCAGGATTCGAACCTGCGCGGGCAGAGCCCAACAGATTTCGAGTCTGTCCCGATAACCACTCCGGCATGAGCACATATTTCTGCGAGAACAGGAGCACAACCTGGTTTGACGAGGTCTTTACCCACCACTAGCCCACACTCCCCTCACCAGCCCATCTCCTTCTCCTTTTGCTCGACCCAGAAACCAGCAGCCCTGCCTAACCTCCTCATCTGCACTTCCTTCAAGACGAAAACGAAAACTGACAGCATGCAACAGGCTTGCTAGAAGTGACTTGCTGGTGAACCATCCTTAGACTACATTCCTCTCACCACCTACCGCCTCCTCCCGCTGCTCGACCCTGAGAAAGAACATGATCACCAGGCAAACAGCAGCCCCACCTAGCCTTGTCTCACCCGTAATCTACTCGTGACCCACAAGTCGATGTGGAATACACATTTATGGGCATTATCCAGCCTGTTAACTTCCCCAGGTCCCTTCCACCCATTGGTGACACCCATCGCATCACCTATGACCTCCGCCCGCCCAGCAGCAACCCCTGCCTTCACCCCCCTTCAGGCCCCCCCCCCCCCCCCCCCCCCCCCCACGTCCTTTCACAAACCCCCACTCACCGTCCCCTTGGCCAACTTTCACACGAATACCCACCCCTCACCGCTCTGACCTGTGGGGTTTGGCGATTATATCCACCGTACCACGCCCCCCGCCATCTTCAACACCAAACACATCCTCTATAGCCTCCGCCAGCCCCATCAGCAGTCCCCATTCCCCGCCCCCTCGTGAGCGCTCTCTGCAGCGCAAACGCTCACAGAGCTGGGTTGGAGAGGGGGAAGAGAAGAATGGAAAAGGGGCAGTGGCTAATGAGAGGGATGTGAGTGACAGTGCTGTAGGGATTGCAAACCTGTGGGCCGGAAGTCCCTAAAGGAGAAGCATGCGCAGAGATAGAGGGGAAGCGGAGAAAGGCGGGGAGCAGTGCTTTGATGAGGAGGATGCGGGCAGGGAGGGAAACAGGAGACAGTGCTAAAGAAGCGTGAATCTGAAGGTCCGTGGAGGAGGAGCAACGGAGCTTTGGGGGGGAAGGGAGAAGGGGGAAAGAGGGTCAAGGGAAAAGGCGAAAGTGGTAGGGAACGCAGTGAATTAGCGAGAAATGTCATGTGTGGTAAGGGCAGAATTCAGGGATCAAAATGCAGTGTGGCATACACACATGCGGGGCTGAGCGGATGAGATGGGGGGAGGTTGCAATAGGGAGTTGGTTGGGAAGACGTAATTGGAAATTTAAAAGGAGAGGAGGTTTTTGCAGGGGGGATGGGGGGATGAGATTCACTCTTGGCTGCAACCATCCTTGCTCATCTATGCTGCCCATCAACTCCCTCCACTGACATCAAAGCCATCAAAAGCCACTCACAATGACTCCTTGCCAACTCTTCACTGACTCTCAGCAACTCTCGCCGAGATAGCTATTCAACTGCCCCCTTCCCACCGCCACCCACGAGTGGCCCGAGTGGTTCCTACACGCATCTCCCCCGCTGCGCAGTGCGCACCGACTTCCAACCAAGCCCCTACATGTTTCTAACCTTGGCGATTTCTAGCTTGTCAACTGCTGCCACCAAACAAGCCCCAGGCGTCTTCTATGGCCTCTGCCAGCCCTGGAAGCACCCCCTCCCCCCTCACTCTCCCCCCCCTTCCCCTTTTCCGTCCCTTCTCCCCCCTTCCTCCCCACCCCTTCTTCCCCACTCCTTCCCTCCTTTTCACCGCTTCCTCAAGTGACACCCACACACGTCCCTACCCAACAATCCCATCACCGAATCTCACCTTCGTCATACAAGTCCATCCGAAGTTACAAGGGGAGCTGCCGTGCTGCCATGTGAAGCTCGGGATCTGGATTGTACTTCCCGTGTGTGATTTCCACCACAACTATCTTGACCCTGTGGGGGAGCAGAGAAGCGGGGATTGAGGACAAGATAAGCGGAAAAAGGGGAGGGTAGAGGGTGACGGTGGGGGAGGGGGGAGTAGCAGAATGGGAGAGACAAGGTGCGTTAAATAGGGAGAGGGGAGCGCAGGGAACCAATCGCAGCGACAGTATTTGTTGCAACACGTGGATGGCAGAATGACGCCTCAACAACATGTGCCATGTCGCATGCGACAACTGTACCTCCTGAATCTGTCGCATGTCTTCCCCGCACCAGCATCCCTTCGCCTTTTGCTTCATGCATCATAAAATGTCCAATAACCCATGTCTGTCACGTCAGTGGTAAATATCCTTAATCTAAGCACCGAACAAAACGTCTAGCTGCTGCGACGCCATGCGGGGAATACAGCGAAACACAGAGCTGCAGCTTATCATCAGCATTACTCCGTCCTTGCAACCCTCCCCACGAAATCCACGATATCTTCGACGCCTCAGAGGAAAGCCTGAACAGACCGAGGCAGCCTCGCTGCACCGCCTGATGCGGCCGAGTCGCCATCCTATTTCAGAAATCCCGCGAATGGGTGTCGCGATTTGCCTGAGCGGGCAACAGGGACCGCCGAAGGAAGGCTGCATCACTTGTGCGGCATCGCACAAGCATCACCAGCCGCAGCAGCAGCAGCAGCAGCAGCAGCAGCAGCAGCAGCAGCTGCGCGCCGTCTCGGCGCGAGGCGGAGTGCGCAGCAGCATTTGCAGCAGCAGCGGCGGGAGCTGCACACCGAGCAAGGCGGGAGTGCGCGGTGCGTGGAGAGCGATGATCGTGTCGGGTGGACTCGAGACTGAAATGCCGCAACGTAGCAGCAGCTGGCGACATGGGCACGACGACGGGTCCTTGCTGTAGCTGCTACTTGAAAATTATGTCTATTGGTAGCTATTAAAGGATAGAAGGGGCTAGTGATGGAACTAATGGCTATAGATAGAGCGAGTGAACATGGAAGATTGGAGTGATGGCGACGAAGATGCTGGCGATGATTCCACCAATGCGGTGCGGACGGAAAAAGCCGGTACGGTTCCATGTACAGCTACTGGAAAGCGCCATCGATGGATTTTCATGCTTGAGGGGGTGGCCTCCAGAAAGTGAGCTAGGCACTGAAGGTTCAAAATTAGGGTTGGAGGCTGTAATGAACGAACAGAGAACTGAAAAGTACGAGATGTGATTTATAAGGGCGTGTCTCTTTTTTATGTTCCATGTTTTTCGGACCTACACAAAGACTTGCTGAGCGAAATTCCCGTT